TATACTCCTATAAATTTTATGAGATATTCACCATATCTCTCCTTTTAAATTCTAAACAATGAGATAAATTTTATGAGATATTCACCGTATCTCTCCTTTTAAATTCTAAACAATGAGTCATTTAGTACACTTCTCTTTATAAACTCTAACAAAGAGATTATCTTTAAAAAAATTCTACAACAATTCATTGCTTACCCTTTCTTTATAAATACTAGTAAATGGTCATCTCTTATAACTTTTTTTTATAACTTTTAATAAGGGAGTACCCATTGCACCACCATTAATTTTCTCCTAACCTTTAAACCCTTTATAAAAAAATATTAATTTATCAACCCCACATTCTTGACTATTTATACCGATCCTAGTAAAAAGGGTGAATAGTCTTATTGGAGCTTTCTAAAAAATATATAAATTTAAAGAATTTCATGGGTGTAAAAGTTTAAATGAATTTAAAGATTACATAGGTATCAAAAAATGAATGAATTCAAAGAAATTTATGGATATAAATTTTACAAGGGTCAAGAATTTCAAAGGGTTCAAAGGTTAGAAAATTGTCAAAAGATGGCATAAGTACAAATATAAATGGTCTATATAGAAAAAGTAACCTAGATACATGAAATGCTATACTTTTTTTTACCTTTATTTCCAACATATCTTAAAAAAATGAGAAAAAAAATGAAAATTGAAAAAAAATAATGAGATTGAGTTAGATAATGAGCAAGGATGAAAATAGGGAGCAAAATAAATATAAGAATTTGAGTCCCTTTCCAAAACTACTATAAGATGAAGAGATAAAGAGATAAAAGATAAGAAAAACATGGAAGATAAGCAAACAAAGGCTATAAAGAGATTAGATACACAAAGAAAAAAATTCACAAGAGAAAATACAAACAATTAAAGAAAAGAACATAAAGAAATAAAGAAAGACAACCAAATAAATAAAAAAAGAAAAACCCAAAACACGTGACTAGAGATTGAAAAAAAAAAAACACTTTTTACCATAAGATCAAAAACCATAATAAACTATCCCTCTTTTTTTCTTCCCAGTTGGATTCTGAATATTATATTTTCTTTTCCATCAACCCTTTCTAGACCGTCAATCTAGTAGGCCTTATCTCCAAACCCCCTTATAAATTCATTATCCCTTTTTTTTTCCTTTCTTTTACAAATTACAATAATTAAAGCTATCATCACTGCTGATCAGAATCACTTTCTCTCACAAGATCTGCTCATCTTCTTCACTACTATCATATATAAATCTTTCAGCATAAATAACAATCACGACAACCTATGAATTATAGAGTTTTTTTTCCTATACATTAATGGTGCCACATGATGTATATGCTCCACATCATCCAATATAGTGAACGTATTGAGCATGTGCACACCACTTGTTTACACCTGTTATCCCATTTTTATTATTTTTTAGTTCATCCAAATAGCTTTTATAAGGTAATTTTCAAATCTCAATAAATTTTTGTTATTTTAAATAAATTGTAAAATATTATGGATTTGTTTTATAATATTGTTAATATTTGAAGTGTTGGGATACACTTTGTTGCATGGCATCCACAAGGTATGATGCCATTAGGAATTTATTTTTTGGTGTGATAAGGTTGAAATTAATACCTTACGATAGAGTTGAGAGGACGTGTTACAAAATGTATGTAGTTTGATTTCACATGTGGATGTGTAGATTTTATACATGGATATGTCAATTTTATGTGTTGATATAAATGTTAACTTGCTGTGAAATTTTATATCGTAAAAATTATTTTCAACAAATCTTCAAAAAAAAGTTAGGATTATTTTCATACATAACAAATATTTTTCTATTAAAAAATTCAATTGGTGGCTGACACGACTAAAAGATTGATGTCTTCTCCCAAGTGCAGGAGTGTCGAAGTAATAAATAACCCGGCAAGACCGGGGTCAAACCACA